GGAAGGGAGGGGAAGGGAGGGGAAGGGAGGGGAAGGGAGGGGAAGGGAAGGGAAGGGAGGGGAAGGGAGAAGGGAGGGGAAGGGAGGGGAAGGGAGGGGAAGGGAGGGGAAGGGGGAAGGAAGGGAAGGAAGGGAAGGAAGGGAAGGAAGGAGGGGAGGAAGGCAGGCAAGCAGGCAGGCAGGAAGGGAGGGAGGGAGGGAGGGGAGGAGGGAGGACAAAAAAAAAGAGAAAAAAAAAGAAGCAGAGAGAGAGAGAGAGAAAAAGAAAAAGATAGAGAAAGAGAGAGCGAGGGAGCGCGAGAGAGAGAGAGAGAGAGAGAGACACAGAGACAGAGACACAGAGACACAGAGACAGAGACACAGAGACACAGAGACAGAGAGACAGAGAGACAGAGAGACAGAGAGAGACAGAGACAGAGAGACAGAGAGACAGAGACAGACAGAGACAGACAGAGACAGACAGAGACAGACAGAGACAGAGACAGAGACAGAGAACAGAGACAGAGAACAGAGACAGAGACACAGACAGAGACAGGGACAGAGACAGGGACAGAGACAGGGACAGGGACCGGGACAGAGATGAGCAGAGAAAGGGAAAGAAAAAGAGCAAGAGGAAGAGGAAGAGGAAGCGGAAGAGGAAGAGGAAGAAAAGGAGAAAGAGAAAGATAAACATGATGAAAGAAAATAGATAACTGCGAGAGCTCTTTGATCCATCAAAAGGGTCTGCGTTCATGCGCATGATTTGCGCGCGTCATCCTTGCAAGCTGGGGCGCTTTCTTTCCGTACTCCTCCTTGGCTGTCGAAGCCTTCATCTTCTAGAGCCATTGAACTTTAAGTGCTGAGCTGTCCATGTATTTCTGGTGCAGCAGCTACATCTTTCTATATAGAACTCTGCTGCTTTCTTTCTCCTCGAGTCCATCCACTGCAGCACTCAAATAGATCCATTGGCCTCCTCATACTGTCTCAGGTCGAAGACCAATGGTTGTGAAACTCGTCGAACTGCCTTCAGAGTTGTCTCACTGCCTGGCTGGATCGACGTCGTAGTACTTGGTGATACCGTCGGTGGGCTCGAAGGTGCGTTGGAAGCTGGGGCCTCAATCTGTCTGACACGCCAGCAATCCTTGGCGAGGTGTCCTGGACGTCCGCAAGTCCAACATGTTTCACTGGACCCTTTGCCTTTGCCCTTCTCTTTCCCACCTTTACCTTTTCCATCTCCTTTCGGCCCAATGTTGGCCTTTCCACCTTTGCCCTTGGATTTGCCCTTGTCCTCCTTGCCCTTTCCTTTGACCCTTTTGCATCTTGGGTCTTGCCTTTTCCCTTATCTTTTCCCTTCAGGCGATCCACCTCCATAGGGGCAGGTCCATTGGGATCGTTCACACCTGGGGCTCGTACTCGAGAAACTCAGTGCGGCTGACTCATTCCACTTGGTATTCGCTGTATTGTAGGCCAGCACTGCTTCACGAATCTTGCTGTCTGAACTGCCCTCATTCAACGTCATGTTGAGGTGGACTTTGAGTGGCCCTGAAATGGCCTTCAATAGAACCGCAGCTCTCATATCTGGTGGTAGTTTGCCTCCCAAGCGCTCATACTGGGTAAAATGCTCTTCCAGTTTCAGCAATTGGGGCAAGATGGACAACTTCATGTTGAAGCTCGGATAGGCCATGATGCCCTGGAGTAAATTCATGGTCCGATTTCGAGCCTGTGCTTGGCAATTGAGGAGCATCTGTCTCAAAGCTTCGAAGCCGTTGTAATTGGGCACATTCTTGATCAACCCGATCAGCCTTCCCTGGACCAAACTTCCCAACAGGCTGTACAGGAAGCGTGCCCTTTCCTGTTCCTTCTCGTTGCGAAATGCCCACTCAACTTCATCTCCACTCTTGTCCTCAATCTTCGCCAGCTCATCCTGATAGGAGCTATCCACCACTACCAAATATATTGTTTGAGGCCCCAAAACCAGTCGCGCCACTGGAGGATCTCCTGTTCTCTGTCGACTGGGTGGAAACTCCTGGCCTTGGTATCAAACGGGCCAGGTCCTTCTTCGAGGCGGCTTGAACTGTCTGGGTGGCTGCAGTCGCTGTGGCGATCAGCGCCTGTGTCAAGTCCTCGAATGCAGTTGCTCCCGATCCATCCATGTCGGCCTGAAGGAATCTTCCAACCGTGCCTCTCTTGGGGTCAAGAACAGTCTTGGACAGGAGGTTGTAGTATCACGTCCTGGATCTCAAAAATCCTCTCATCTTCAAGGATGTGGGCAATCTTGTACTCCAAGGTGTTCTCCTCTCTGCTCGGTCGGGTACCCTCACGCGCTGACTGCGAGATCCTGCAACACTAGTTTATGGTGGCACGTCAAGCGCGATGCACGAGGGCCCGATGGCGGGGATCCTGGGTCCTGTCACCTTTCAAGAGCCTCGGGAGCTCAGGGCAAACCAAAGGAGTGCCCGTCACGGCTCCGCTACCATGCGAGAGCTCTTTGATCCATCAAAAGGGTCTGCGTTCATGTGCACGATTTGTGCGTGTCATCCTTGCAAGCTGGGGTGCTTTCTTTCCGCAATAACATAGCTATAAAAGGAAAATAAGACAGATATGAGAGAGAGAGAGAGGGAGAGGGATGCGCAGATGTGCAAATGTGCAATTGTGCTGGTGTGGAATATTGAATATGCAAGTCTAGAAAGCTATGTTGGTTTGTAGTGAGTGCACCTGCTTTTCTTTAGAAGAACCCTTCGCGCTCAGGTGCTCTCGGGAAAAATCTCAGAAAAAGCCTCCCGTGACACCCCTGCCGCACCGCAGATGTTGGCTTTCTCAGAAATGTCAGGAGCTACTATGTAGTATCTTCTTGTTACTAGTACCGATGGCCTCCAACCTAATAGCATTGGCTTCTTGCCGTTGGCGCAAACCGGCTGGGCTTTCCCCACGGCATCTCCTTGTCCTCGCGACCCTCCGCCGCGGCCTTCAAACGGCGGCGCTGCTTGCGGCTCGCGGCCGTGCGGAGCACGGCTCCTGGGGCACGAGCCGGTGACCACAGGGACTCTGATGGATGCAGCAAGCACAGCATGCGCAAACAAGCATCTTGTAAGGGTCACCATGGTCATCACATGGCATCGAAAATGTTTGCGCTGCCATTTGCTGAGCTGTGCCAGACCACCTGGCACTGTCATTGCATGTTAGGCTTAAATGCCCGAAGGCCAGACCTGTTCCATTCTACAGTACAGTTTCTGTCCACTGGTCAAAACGGAAGGGTGTGTGTTTGCGTTTTTAAGGTGTCGGTCGGAGCCCACAGTCACAAGGATAAAGCAACACGTCTGTTCCAACACCATCCGAGACACTTGGCGAGGATGACCCGCTAGATGCCTGCAGGTTTCAGGGTTGGAAACCGTCCAGTCGAGACGGGTCCAGACTTGGCGGTGTCCACCAAACGTGAAAAGTCCAAAACCCTTTGCAAGTCACAAAATGTGACAATGAACAGAACAAATGTCTTGAAATATTCACCCAGCCAGTGGTGACCTTGAGAGATCGAAGGTTGCGAACGATGCCAGCTGTTCTTAACCAAGTTCTGCTGCTCTTAACGTTGTCCCAGCACCCCCTTGCTATCTAAGGTTGGAACAATAGCAACACTCCGAACCCCAGTTGCTTTGAAAGTGTTAGTGGCATGGTGGCTGGGACAGGCAGCTGCCACGTTCGCAGTTTGGTCAATCTATGACGTCCTCTGGTGGTGGTTCCTGGTCTTCAGCCCACTTTGTTCACCCAGGTAGTACAGGCATGTCCTTCTCCAAATCTTCGTGTTAGCTAAAGTGGTGCCTTTTCCTTTTCAGGTTCGCCCATTCCATTCATGCACACACGGAGCAATGAACTAAATTGTTGGACAGACCGGACCAAAATGTTTTCGCCAACCTGGATACTTTGGAACCACCCAGGTATGTGTTCTCCAAACCAAACACACCTCTTCCAACAAAAGACCTATGTATATCTGATCTCCAACTCCAGCCGCCTCTCTGCCCAAAAAAGGATCATCTCTGGCCTCTACTGGCAGCTGCGTGGTATTCAACCTCGCCTCACCGCTGGGCGCCTGAAAGGAGTTCGGGCTCTGCCGGCTCCGCTTGCTCCGCTTGCTCCGCTTCTGTTCGGGTTTCGCTTCCCCAGACATCTGCGGGGAAAGTGAATCCTGAGACGAAGACTGACCCTCCTGGCAGTTTCTTTTCTTCCCCGAAAGAAAAAGCAACAAAAAAAAGGAAACACCAGAAACACCAGACTTCCAATGCATCTTTCATCGCACCGGCTCGCCGAGACTGTCCCGGGCATAAGGATGACTCCTGGAACCCGGACACCCATTCGACGCCGGTTTCTCGGAGAGGGAAGATGTCCTGCTACTTTTAAGACACGGCAACTCTTTGGGTTTTTGGGGCGGTTCCCCACACTGAGCTTTCGGTGATGGTGACAAGGGAATGGAAAACCAATCGGTCCCTGCTCCCCTGAAACATAGGTGTGTATATATGTTGATAGGAGGACCGTTTTGGTCTCTCTCCCGTCTTCCGGTCGAACTTGGAGGTCTCCCTATTCTAATCCCACATCACCAAATTGTTTTTTGGAAGACCGAGCAGTTCCCTAGAGAAGTGAAGACCCAGAGCCGCACGGAACCCTCTGGGGTCTGCGACTGGCTGCTGCTGAATAGGCGGCTGTGTCGTCACATCTGAATGTGCGACACCTGCCACAGGAAAACCTGGTCAGCAGCGCAGCCATGTTGAGAAAAGGGGAGAGGGAGGGAGGGAGGGAGGGAGGGAGGGAGGGAGGGAGGGGAGAACATTTGTAGGACGACACCTACAGGAACACAAGTTGCAAGAAGGTAACAGAGCATCGAGCAATATAAGGACCCGAGATTGCAAGATTCTTCCTCAATCACACATACTTCTCTCCGCATGACTTGTATCGAAAACCACCGCTTCTGGCTTTAGAAGCCGAGCTTAACCCAAATAAAAGGAGGCTTCAACCCTCCACAAGTCTGGTGCGAAGGCTTCACACTAGACTTGTGACCCGGACGGAAACCTGCCAAAAACCTGGTTTGAAACGCTCGAGGTCTCTTAATATTGACAAGTCTTACCCTTAGTTGTTACGTGGCAAAGTTCCCTGGTGTCTATTTCAAATTCTCCAAAAATCCAACTTAGTTTTGGCCGAATCCTGCTATTCTCCCCTCTCCACTGCATCCGTAACGGTGCTAGCTACCGGCGCTGAAGCAGCCATCGCTGGTCATGAAAATCGCAGGCCACACCTCAATACCACGTGGGACGGTCTTTTGCCACGACGTGCGCCCCGCAAGTAGACTGAATGGTTTGAGTCGCACTTGTTACTAGTAGCTTCTTGTTACTACTAGTAAGGCACTTGTT